AGGATGCACACATGTCATAAAGCGACGGATCAATCACAGCCCTATACATCGATGGGAAGATTCAAAATAATCAATATAAATAAAATTAAAAAACAAACCGTTGGAAAAACGCTGGCCGACAAACGAGTAAGATTTCAGAAAGAATCACCGTAAGAATGAGAGACATTAAAGAAAAACTTTCCGGAGCTTAACTATTTTTCCGATGTATCGGTCGAATATCTGTCAAACTATTCAAGGTGAGATCCAGACTCTTACAGTGTCACACCCAGTTGTAACTTATGTACCAAATATATAGGAATAACAGAGAGAAAGGTTAATGCTAGGATTTCTGAATTTGTTGCTAAGATCTTATTCCTAAGAAGCATTAAAGTTTTCATACAATCTTAGCCTATTAGCAGCTGAAAAGAAATCGCGTAACAAAATGATGAACTTATTCTTATTCTATAAATTTTGTTATTACTGTTTGATTAATCGGAATGCGATGGCGAGTTCACGTTTTCACAAACTCGATGGGATTAATCTCATTCTTAGTGTGATTTTCCTCTGGTTTTATTCATCTTCGACATTATGAAGGTGTACCACAAAGAGATGTCCTTTCACCTCTTCTTTTCTCTGTTTTTCCGCATGATCTGCCGTCTTCCACAGAAAACACTTTTGTGAAATATGCAGATGATCTCACTGTATGTATGCCGGACTCTACCTCTTTACATCCCATAGAAATGAATGAGTTTTTGTGTCGTATTGATTGTTGGTCTGTTGTTAATGGTCTCATACCTAATCCGTCTACATGTCAAGCTGTTAACTTTAGCATGAGATATGAACGGCATCTAACCAGTACTTTGTGATCCCATAAAGCTTGTGCTATTGAAGGCTCTTTGATAAACACAGTGTCGAAGGTCAATTATCTTGGTGTTACCTTTCCCTCTGATCTCTCTTGGTCTTTCCACGCTTTATTTTCCGTCTGACTTACTACATAAAGTGACCGTATTCTCTTGGGATTACTCGTCATTTACTCTTACAATTTGTCAATTCTTTCACAATACCTATTATTCTTTACTGTTTTTGTTGTGTGGGCGAGAACGATCGTGATTGGTTGTCTGCTTAGTCAGACATGTAGACAGTCTGACAGGTGTCAGATAAGTTATATATTCTCTTACCCTTATTATTGTGACACACTCACTCACTCATTCTTATTTACATTATTATTGATTGGCCGACAAACGAGTAAGATTTCAGAAAGAATCACCGTAAGAATGAGAGACATTAAAGAGAAAATTTCCGGAGCTTAACTATTTTCCCTATGTATCGGTCGAATATCCGTCAAACTATTCAAGGGGAGATCTAGACTCTTACAGTGTCACGCCCAGTTGTAACTTATGTACAAAATATATAGGAATAACAGAGAGAAAGGTTAATGCTAGGTTTTCTGAATTTGTTGCTAAGATCTTATTCCTAAGAAGCATTAAGGTTTTCATACAATCTTAACCTATTAGCAGCTGAAAAGAAATCGCGTAACAAAATGATGAACTTATTCTTATTCTATAAATTTTGTTATTACTGTTTGATTAATCGGAATGCGATGGTGAGTTCACGTTTTCACAAACTCGATGGGATTAATCTTATTCTTAGTGTGATTTTCCACTGGTTTTATTCATCTTCGACATTATGAAGGTGTACCACAAGGGGCTGTCCTTTCACCTCTTCTTTTCTCTTTTTTTCTGCATGATCTGCCGTCTTCCACAGAAAACACTTTTGTGAAATATGCAGATGATCTCACTGTATGTATGCCGGACTCTACCTCTTTACATCCCATAGAAATCAATGAGTTCTTGTGTCGTATTGATTGTTGGTCTGTTGTTAATGGTCTCATACCTAATCCGTCTAAATGTCAAGCTGTTAACTTTAGCATGAGATATGAACGGCATCTAACCAGTACTTTGGGATCCCATAAAGCTTGTGCTATTGGAGGCTCTTTGATAAACACAGTGTCGAAGGTCAATTATCTTGGTGTTACCTTTCCCTCTGATCTCTCTTGGTCTTTCCACGCTTTATTCTCCGTCTGACTTACTACATAAAGTGACTGTATTCTCTTGGGATTACTCGTCATTTACTCTTACAATTTGTCAATTCTTTCACATTACCAATTATTCTTTACTGTTTTCCATTATTCTTTCCAGGGCTTTTGAGAAAAGGCTTTGCTGTATTGTGGAGACTGCTGAAGGCAGTTAGCAAGGTGTGTAGTGAATCTTTTGAGGTCATAATTAATATAGTTGTGGATAGACATCTAAAGTCATGCAAACTCATGTTAGGTGTTATCTTATCACATACTAACCATCCCATACCCTCATATCTTTATCCTTGTGTTTCTTCTGGTAGAACAAGACGTCAATACATTAAAATCCATGCACGCAAGCAAAAGTATAAAAGTTCTATAATACCTTACTTAGCAAATATACTCTGTGACGAACAGGTTATTAGAGTTAACCTAGTCAATAACTTTCAATCTTAACATGTTGTACAGTTTTTTGGTTGTAACATTATTTTAGGTCATGATGCTTAGTATGTAATCATTACATAAATAAGTGTATTTGATTTAATGATGACATTTTAAGGTGACTTGTTTGACGGACATGTTATTTAGTCAGCCAATATATCTTCATTATACCACCTATTTGTATGCTAGAAACTGTGGATACAACAGAGTTGACACAAATATAACACCGATCTATTTTATATGTAGATCATATGAAAAGTTCACAAGATGAAAATAAATGACTGAACAAATTGTGTGCATGTGTGTATGTGTATGCATGTGTAAGATTAAGTTATTAATAGTAGATATTAGACCGATGTCAAAAACTGACCATACGATCAAGTCCCAAATTCTTCAAACAAACAATTGTGTCGAAATTTCTGTAATGACATTGTTGAATTATACCCAAATAACCTATGTTAGAGATTCATGATGGACACATCAATTGAATGATTGTCACTGTGTCTAATCACACAATCTCTAACTTAACCACTGATAACATGATGTTGTTATTGTTGAATATCAGCACAAATGAGCCTTCAAATATGTCTACTTCAGGTAACTAGGCTTCACAAGCATAGAAAAAACTGCTCTCACCGATGTGTTGTAAACCTAACTTACAACAACTAGACTAATATCAAAACAATACCGAAAATTGTCATCAATCTCTCTGGACTTCATTACACGTATATTGATCTTATCCGTCATACCAATACTAGCACTCACCATATACATCAACATATCGTACATATAAACGCTAATTGATAAGTGACACATTAGAACAGTGTCATCTGAAACGCTAAAAATTAAAAATTCTTACTTTATACAACAGATCTACACCATCACCATATGCTTCCAGTAGAGTACAATAGGATGATGTACAAATTAACTGAATATGCACAACAATTACATACCATTATAGTTTGTTAATAATAACGTTACATGGTGAAATGAAACGATTAATTTTTCATTTATTTATAAATCGCCATCAAAATCTCTGCCGATTTATCAGTGATTTTCATCAATCATATATATAAGCTCTAAAGATATATTTCCGTCAATGGCTGAGCGATAATATCTCAAAATTAGAAGCTGTGTGATACGGGATCAAACGTCCCAGAGTGCATAAGTTCTCTCAAGGTTACAAATATGCTCCGATGGCGTGTGCCAAATAGCACGAAACGTGAGTCCAGGGTTTCTAGTCAACCACCATGAATCACCTAGAATATCACTATAGTACACATGATAACGAGTTACTTGTAATAATGATGACCACATTGCAATTCAATCGACGGAATTCCATTGGCCTTAGATGATTATTCAAACATGAAATCAGTCAATGATCTATCGATTCCGTGTAAGCGTCATTTATCTAGCTGAAGTTGACAATAAAAATATAAATTATCTAACTACTTATTCAAGTTCTTCAGTAGTATAGTTTCATTGTCACGTGTATTCAATTTGCATGTGGAAAATGTGGAAAAAATACACTTAAACAATTTGATTGGTATGAGGAATTCTGTGAAGATTTCGGAAAGTTCAATAGTTGAAATCATTAGTAAATTGAAGCTAGACCACCATGGAAAACCTGCAAGCACTTCACGGACAACTCGTCCTAGTATGGGACACCTCAGAAGTGCGCATCCATGATCCTACCTCGAGAGATTCGAACCCAGGACCTATCAGTCTCGCACGCCAGCGCGAATCTTGCGGGGGCGATATCATGGATTCGCGCTCCTAAGGAGTCCCATACTAGGACGAGTTGGTCGTCCACTGCTTATCAATCTTGGCTGTGTCCATATGAGCGCATAGGTGTGTGTACACTTCTTATTCCATCACTCATCACACGTCCGTAACCTATTTTTGTGTGACTATAAATATTGATTAATGCTTGGTTAAATGGGAGTTGGTTTACCCGCCATCTCCACCGCGCGTCGTTCCGCTTCTTTCTGTTCCATTTGCTTCATATACAAAATATATGCATTCGAAAGTCCATTCTCGTTATTTGACTTATTTAATGCAGTTATTGACTAACGCGATTTAAGTCGATGATTATATACGAGGATAGGTGATAACAAACATTCATACGATCTACTTCGAGTCAGATCCTGAGCCACTAATGTAGAGAGCTCGTCAACAAACATCATCCAATGTAAATGAAGACAAAATACAGGGCCCCACATATAACAATGGGAAGATACAAGTAATACAACACCAAATGAATAAAGTCAAATAAAATCATAGTTGATTGTTTATTTTATTTTTCTCTTTTAAATTAAACAAAATAAGTTGTTAAAACAAATGGTTGCTATGTGAAAGTGAAAATGAATGGAAAAATACTCACGTAGACATTATCATTGAGGTAGTTAATTTATTTATGTTCATTAATAAAATAAGTTTTAATCAAACCCCCCCCAAAACAACATGAATAAAGCACATAAAGGAGAAAAGTAATGATGATAGAAGGCTAAAAGTTGTTGCCATCTTTGTTTAAGTCATAGTTGTATTTATCATTAGTATTATTACTATTATTATGTATATGATATGATGGTATATAATGATTAGGTAAACATGTAATTGATTCATAGGATTCTAATGGTTGTTTTGCATATACATTGGATACATGTTTATGTTGGTAATGAAGAAGATGACATTTTTCTTTTTCTCTATTTAACAATGGGAAAGATTGTCTAGTTTTAATCTAAAATATAAACAAAATTTATAACATAATGGTATGAATGGAGATTGTAGAATTTTCATAGTTTAAATCACGAATTGATGGTTACTAGATCATTATTGAATTATGGAAGCACTGGATGAGTGTTTCGTCCTAATTAGTGATTCTTCTATAAACTTGCTATACTGCTTAATAGTGATTAGCTTCACACTACAATTCCTGGAATCCTAATGAAAAGCCGTGACTGGTGGAATTTAACCATGTCGGGTGTGTGATAATTACCCACTGAAGGCAACAGTTGAAGGTTGCACAATATTGTGAATTAGTTGCTGCTTGATATGTACACCCAGTAGATTATAGGTTAACGTTCACGCTCGAAACTAAATATCCTGGGTTTGATTCCCAGTCATGTAATCACGTATCATCACCTCGAAATTGCTCATACTACTAGAGACGAAATGGACCTAGAGTGCTTCCTGGTCACAGTGAAGGTCTAGTTAAGATCAGTTCAAGATAAACCAAAAATTTGTTTTGTTTTATTGAAGTGTTATTTTAGAAAAGTATTAGGACCAGTAAACCTAATACTCTATTGGATTATACAATTTCGTAACATATTGTAATGATTTGTGCCATACTACTGACTTACATTTTCTTCTGAATACCAGAAACATCAAACAAATCATATTTTACAAAACGTCAGCTATCATTTTAATGAAATACATGGTGTTAGTACACAATGTATACCGATAAGTGAACTGAAATTTACACTTATTATCTGTTTTAAAGTGACGAATTACTGTTTATTGGATACTGTATATTCATTATTATGGTTCAAATTACGAATTGATTTTAGCTTGACCACCAGTGGAAACCTGGAAGCATTGGATGGCCGTTTCAACCCATCATCGGACTTCTCTAGAGTACGCACAAAATTTATCGTTCTTCAATACCTGTTGCTACTCGGACTGCTCCTGCTTTCTTCCCTTCTCCTCATGTTCCTCTTCTGTCAGTAAGAATCCTACTTCTAATTGTTGATACACACTATCTACATATTTCCGTATAAATAGCATACACCAGAATCAATGAATGGACTCTGTTTAGTACTCCTAAACTTGATTGGAAAAGTTTTCTGATTCTTAGATGTTGTTTGCGGTTATAAGAAATCTTTACAACAAATCGCATAGATCTAATCATTCCCACCTGGTTTATTTCTGATCATGCTAAGTTCGTTGTTAGAGAAATTAAAAGCGTGGCTTGAAATTAACTGAATATATATGAATATAACATTCCCCTTTGTCCTACCTTATGAGTGTGAAACATAACTTGAGATATTCCTAACTTACCGATAATGGAAGCATCACTCGTGCATTTAGATATCGCCGAGTAAGTAATACCTTAATTTGGGATGGAATACTATGTAAAAAAATTGATCGATAAGCTAGTAAATCTTCATCAGCTAAGGTGGTTGGGATGTGTTTTCGTATGCCCAACCACCACTTATCTCAACGAGCGGTGTTGTCTGGTGTAGGAGTAGGTTGAAAGAAAGCTAGGGGTGGTCAAATCAAAACATGTCACCAGTCCATGAAGTTACTAACAATTAAACTGGGCCATGTTAATAGATTGAAGTTTACATGATTGTCATAACCAATGGTTACAGACCCTGAATGACATGGCTCAAAATCTCTCGCAATAGCGTTGGTAAATCCACACTTTGTCTTCTCCTGGATGCTATATTTCTAAAGTCCTCATAGTTTTTTTTGATTTAACTAATTTATATTATATTCTTGAGTTGTATAATGGATTCCTAATCTTTTCTATCACCACTAATACTGTAGTTACCTCTACTACTGCAGGATTTGCCCTAATAATTTCACATTGCTACACCTACGTTGTATAACAAGTTGAAACGATGTATACACGTATCAGGTTCTGTCCTTTATTTGAATGACTTGGCTTAATGATTGGTATGAATACGTTAATATTGTATTTACCGCTATGAAATTTTATTGATTTCAAAAATAAAACTATTCATTGATTTGAGATCACAGAATTGGTTAACAAGCTTGAGGCATATCTGCAGCCTTTGTAATGTTCAGTGTATTGTATTCATCACTTTGGATTATTTATCAGTTCATTTAATAAGTGCTGCATATTAGGGTATAAATTTAACTGAAGACTTTATTTCAAGTACTATACTCTTTTTCTTTTCGTCAGGTATGTTCACCTGAATTACACTGGCAAGTTCAAAGTAGACAGCCGCTGATAAGTCTAGAAGACTTTGGTGAAAACTACTACCTACTAAATGGACATGAAAACGTCCGAAAATGCTGTAGATAAGTTTAGTCGTACACAGGTGACCAAGATTAAGATGAATCATCAGATATACCTTTAAAATAAAAAGAAATAATCGTCACTATCAAATAAAACATATACTTTCCACTAAATGATTGGAACAAAAAGACAGTTCAAAATATTAGTCACCATAGAAAATTATTATGTGAAGGCATCGATTGGCAAAGCAAAGGTAGTATTCCTACAAATGAGGAATATTTACAATTCGAAACAACTGTCGGCCAATATCAAAGTCGGAATTTTCAATACGAACATCAAAACAATTCTACTGCACGGAGCTGAAACTTGGAGAACTACTACAACCATCATCAAAAAATACAAGTATTCATAAGCATTTGTCTAAAAAAGATACTCAATGTCCGTTGACCGGAGACCATCAGTAACAATCTACTTTAGCAGAAAACAAACCATTTCTAAAACTTCTCAAAATTCCTAACTTAAAGTTGTATTCGATCAATTAACATTGATTAATATTTACAATTTCAACAGTGAATCGATTACCTGATTATCAGCTTAAAAAAAGGTGATTTTGTAACGTCTTTTCCTAACCATGTCAGCACATAAGCAAAGGTGGATAGTGGCTAGCAGTGGAATCCAGGACGCGCGTTTCGTCCTATTTGGATAAAAAAACAAACACATGTCAGCACATGTTCATGAAAGCGTACGGATAAGTGGATGTGCACTGCTGAAGAGTCCCATGCTAGGACAAAACGGTCGTCTAGTGCTGCCAGGTTTTCCACAGTGGTCTAGCTTCAATTGACTCATGATTTCAACTATTGATATAGTTATTACTGATAATCGTTATTATTTCAATTCTTTTCATCATCAATCTTTATTGCTTCATATTACATCATACCCCAGATGTTACACTTTAATACAACATACGGTTGTAAGCAGTTGAAGAGAAAATATGAAATACAATAAATTTAAATTATTCCGCCCTAACTGTTGTTTCAACTTGTTATTCAAATATATAATCATCGTATTTCACATGGATCAACTCAAGCCCCATCTATTTTAATTTGAACAAGTAAGTACACATACTATTCACCTTAAAGCTGAGTACATATATATAAGTCAGTAATTAATTATATGAGTAACACATAAATGGTAAAAAGTTGGTTAATAAAGTTTATATTAAATGATTTACATTTCAATTAGCCATTCAAATGTAAATATCTGTAATATCAAAATTTAATACAAATCAATCTATGTATTTTTATTTTAGTAGTTAGATTCATGAGTCAATTAAAGCTAAACCACCACGGGAAACCTAGAAGCACTGAACGTCCGCTTCGTCCTAATATGGTACTCCTCAACAGTACGCATCCACAATCCCGCCCACAGAGAGATTCGAACCCAGGACTTATCAGTGTCATACGCGAAAGCTTAACCTCTAGACTATTGAACCGGCATCCATGATGGTCTGAATTCAATGGACTCATAAATTCAACTATTAAATTATTATAATATCCACAAAATCCCTTTCTCATCATATATTTTTAATGTTGAGTAATTTAGATTATACTGATAGGAAGTTGAGAACTGATTAATTTATTGTGTGTTTAAATATCCGTTACAACATTAACTATTCTATAAGTTCATTATAGGAACTTAATTGAATTATCTATTTAATAAAAACAGGAATAGTTTACGCTTAACTTGATACAACATTTAATTATATACACATCAACAACAGTAACAAACAACAAAATTTAAAAACAGACTATAACTAGTTACATCCATCCATTTAATACATTCACCAAACCATCCACCATTTCAGGGAAAAATGAATTGCATTCAAAGACGTTTTTGATGGAGTTTTATTCTCTGATTTGGATAGTTTAATCGTGGAGCTTTTATCGTTCTTCTGTACGACATCATTAGCACAAATTTCAAGTAGAAGTCTTCTACGATCAAACCATCTAACTCAAAGAACAGAACTCCATCAAAATCATCCATTTGAGCTACAGATCTTCTCTATTATTAAAAAATGTTCTTTTACAAACATCATGACATATTGACTTCAATAGTTTTATTAAATCAAATTTATATTGAAGAGTCTAGAGGAGATACGATTCATGGAGAAGGTATAATTTGATAATTTGTATTAAAAATTTATTATAATTATACAATCACTAAAATCTAAAATGCATAGGATATTCATTTTTATCTTAGTATGAGAACCTTCAACAGTATCCATCCGTGACTCGATCAGAGATTGAACCCGGGCGGACTACAGCCTCTTATCTCATTGGCAGAAAGTTCTGGAGGTACACTTTGCTGATTGGTCAGGTATGACTAATTCCATTTTTAACTAGTTCTCATGCTTTATTTAAATATGAGGCTGAATAGATTAGTTAATTGTCTGATTGGCTACTTTCTCTGTCAAAGAAATCACCTGAATGAATGTAAAACTTTCAGTTGAAAACATTTAATTACACAGATTTCCTTTCTGAAAGTTGCAACTTACATTAAATCTAAAACTTTAATGTCAGTATTGAAATACAATTTGCCGCTCAGCTACTAAACTCCAGGACTCATCATCATTATAAATTCTTGATCTTCTTAAGAACTGTGAGCAGAACTTTTATTTTTCGTCAAAAGTACCTCCTTAAACTACCAGTGATTAAGAAGTCAATGGTTTACATATCTTCTGATCTCCAGTTATT